GCAACTTTTACAAATTTCAACGAAAACTATTGTTACAGTTGGCACAGACCTTCTCGTACTATTTATTTATCTAATTTCTTTGGTCTGGGCTAGATTTTCGCATACGCCCCACTCTCTTCCCAGTTGCCATTGTCGCCGCCCAAACATTTTCTAAAATTTTCGGTTCTTTAATGGTAGAACTGAATCAATACCTTAATAAGACGGGAAAAATATCATATATGGATACTTTCGTTGAAAAAATCATATCTTTTTGTGAGAAAATGTCATTTGATCGCTATTTTAATGTGCAATTTGTAGCTCTATTTCACATAAAACTTGTTTTTGGGTAACTTAATTTGAAATCACCTGAAGGACTTCTACTCACAAATGCAATAAAGTATTTAAATCGCTAGTAATGTTGACCTAAATATTAACGTCGTAAAATGTATTTCAAAACTTTTACAGTTGCGTATTTTTCTCCCACCAAAGAATACACCGAAGTGGCATTTACAAATGGTTTCCTGTCCATTTAGTAAAAAAACAGTCCGTTCAAAACAAAATCGAGAGAAAATGGCGTTTAGCGTTTCTGAAACTGCGGAATTTCGATCTCATTTTCACAAATAACTTTACAAGACCAACTTGAAGCACTCATTCTAACAAATGTCATAATGTATGTAAATCATCATTAATATACATATTAACGTGAGAGAAATTACGAAAATTATATTGGTGAAATTGTAGAACAAACAAAATGCAGCAAAATGGCGTTTATGTCAACCTATTCCGTGCTTTTAACATTATCCCTATAAACAGTTTATAATTAGTGGTGCTAAAACAGCACGTGCTTTCTCGCCCGTGTTTTCACACAAAATTACGCGAAAAGTACCTACTCAAATTTTCGGAAAATTATTCATGACCGTATTTCAAAATTCATCTTTAAGGAACAGATTACATTAAGGGGTCAAAATCTCTACTATTTTTGTTATAGGAAGACCAAAAAAAAATGAAGCCATTTTCTCGCATTACTATACTCTATATTGCGTTAGTAGCAAGAAGGTAAAAACAACTACAACTTTTTACCCGAAACTCTTTGAATTTCGGAAAATTGCAAATTAAGTTTTTGAGGGATTTTCCCAAAACTCATTTAATTTTTTTTATACTATTGCCTACTTAAATATTTTTTTCCCTTAATACAATTTAAAGTATTTAATTTCAACAAAACATAAATAACTCTGTTCTTGAATCACCAACTTAAAATGCTACAATCAGTATTGACTTACCAGCAATGCATCATATGTACCTGCAAAATATGTGATCTGAGGGGGACTAGAGTTCCCATATTCCATTTATTCACCAACCAATGACAAACTTGTCATGACCACTTCACTAAAAAAAAAAATTGAGTAATTCTTTGGATATTAATTTGTGTACACATTAATACCCAGATGATGTTGACAAGTTCATGGATTACGTAGACAGATCTTTCAACATAAGCAAATTTTAGTTTAAAATTATTAAATTCTTTACAGAGTAGAATGAAAAAAAAGACAACCCTCAAATTCAACATAAAAAGCATCAGTGCTGATATCCTAATTTAAATTTTAATAATTGATCTGATAATTTGTATCCCACAACTTTTACAATTTCAAATACAATAGAAAATTAAAATACCAAAATAACCACCACTTTCCCAAGTCTCTAAAAAAATGGTCCAAGAATACAGAGAAACCTTTATTTTTAATGTCATTATTTCAAATTATTCAAAGAAACCACAAACTTAAATCTTAATACACACATTTATTTATCAACAAGCACATTTCAAGTAGGGAACCTAAACCTTTTAAAAACATCTTTACTGCAAAATATCTAAGTATGAATACAATAAAGCAGAAAAGGAAGTACTTATCACATGAAAAAACAAAACCAAAAAAATTCTATTTTAATCAACTGTTAGCACCAACATTAAATAAAAAGTAATTTTAAATCACGAAGGTCATGTAAGAAGGACATTTGAATGCATACGTTATATTTACACAAATACAAGTCTTATCAAAATCTTTATTGAACTTCATAAAATGCATATCAAGAAAAATAGACAACTACTTGGGCAATAACATCATAGTACAAATGACACTACAAATAATTGTTAGTTATGGCAATGTTATTCAAGCATCTTTCATCAAAAATATGTCAATTTACATTACATGACGCAAACATACAAGAATCAGAGGCTCAAGCTGAGGTGACTTGCTATTTCCCTATTAACCTACATATAATATCAAATACTCAGATCCTACTTCAAAGAACAATACACTAAATTTTTCATTACTAAGAAAAACATAGCACTTCCTTTAAAATAAACTGTCAGAATTAATTAAGCAGAAAACATTAGATTAATGAACGTGTACAAAATGGGATCAACTTGCTTAATATTAATGCAATCAATTTTATTTTCAAAACAAATTTGAAAGTAAAAATTCCCTAAAAAAATTTATCTTGCAAAGCTATCTCCTATGAATGAGAGCAATTTATTAATTAAGATTTCCAGATTGCTTTTTAACCTCCCTTTCATATCCAAGAATGGCCAATTAATTGTAAGCAGGCAAAATTGTTATAAAATTTTAGGAAATTTGTTTTGTAATCTACAATTTCAAGAAAAAATGTCATCGCAGAACACACTATAAAGCAACTTTCTCTTCAAGGAAACAAAATGCTAAACTACTCAAAACTATACATATTGTTCAATACAAATACTACCCTTCTCACTCAAATATTGTTAGGAACATGCTTATAACTGAAAGGCATACTTTCATTACACATTGTACTGTCACTGTCAGATATGAACTGACGATTACATAAAACATTTGGCAATCTGACTAACTTAATGAACAAATTACCCAAGCAGCAAGAACATCAACACACAATTTCAATAATACAATGACAATCTCTTGTCTCATGAATACTTTAGTACTACAGCAGGCAAAAACAATTCCTAAAAATTATGAAATTTTGTTGAATTTTGGACATCATAAGGCAATAACCATGGCTATAGAGAAGATAATGAATTGCAAAACAGATTCATAAGCAACAATGTATACAAAAAAATTCAATTATAAATGCTTTATTAAAACCATGTTTCAGATTTTAAGCTCCAAATTATCCAGTGATTGCAACAAAACAATTTTATGAAACACCAAGAGAAGTCTTAACAACTCAGATTTTCTGTCTCAAAGCAAGACGATTACTTCAGGTCATGATTAAATAAAAAAAAAAAAATCAATGTAGAAAACAATCTAAAAGATGAAGAAAGTCAAATTTGATCAGCTGCAACACGTACAAGCTACAATATTTATCACAAACTAAATTAAGAAGAATATTAACACAACCAAAGGACATCTTCACTGAACAACAATCCTTCAAAATGAATCTGGTAATTTAATCTCTTCAAATAGAACTGAATAAATCTAATAAAGTAAATTGTGCAGAACAAACTGCTGCACAAACAACAATTCTAAATCATACCAAATATGTTACAAAAAGAGAAAAAACTTTCTTAATTATCGACTAACACAAATTTCACTTCTCATTGCTACAAAATTTCGGCACATCTTAAGAACACATTATGATAAATAATGGTAGGCGATTTAAGTTCACAATTGTTTTGGGCATTCAAGTTTAATTATTATAATATTTAAAATTTTGTCAGCTCTAAATCATTAATAAAATCTTTACATAATTTGACATTGACCAATCAGCATTATACTTCCATTATTATCAAAAGATATTTGGAAAACATTAGAACTACCCACTAATAAAGATTGAGACCTTCCTTATTTAAATTCGACAGACATCCAAAGCTCGACAAATTACGACTAACTTACACATTATCACTCATTCTATTTACCTTACAACAAATCACAAGCATCCATGAACTCTATCAATCATTAAGGTTTTTTTGGATCATAGAATACTATATTGAGGAATGTAAAATCAGTGGCTAATCAGAAGCACATTGGAGTACAAGACTCTTAAAGACTTCATAATCATTACAAAAAGAATTTAATTACTTTGATTATATTACAAAGGAATATGAAAAAGACATGTTGGCCACATCAGCTCAAAACTTACAAAATCTTATGACACATACTTGCAAAGTCTGATATTGCACACCAAAAGATGTTCTTAAAATGACATGTTTGTGAAGCTCTGAGTACATTGCAGAAAGACGTATTAAAATTTCATAGTCAAATAATAAAATTCTTAATAAAACCAAACTTCAATTGATATAATACCTTATGCTATTTACATTATTCAAAACGAAGAACCATTTCATAACAAAGTCCAGCTACTGCAGAATGGTAACACCTTCACTCCATGGCAAATAACCAGGAACTTCTTTTTTCTTTTGCACGAGTCACTTTCCTTTGAACATACTTACAGAAAAAATTTTCAGTACTCAATAACAAAATTATTTCTACTCCCTACTACCTATCATCAAACAAAAGCATTAGTGCATAAATTGAAGAATTTGTCAATGTACACTATTATGGCAAGTTTTCGGTACAGAACTATTTTAGGAACATTTCACATGGCTCCCAAATGCTCAAAACATTATAAGCTAAGCACATACAATTGTCTCAAATTTTAACATTAATTTCTAGAGCAGGTCTGATAATGTACGTTTCAACACATTAGCACAATGTTCAGAACTACTCTTGTCTAAAAATTGTACTGGTCTACAACTAAGACACTGAACTCCTAACAGTTGCATACCACAGTATATTTCACTCTGAAGGATTTAATTCACGAACGACCCACCAAATCTATGAAGATTTTTTTCACCAAAATAATGAATGGGGAAACAAGTTACATTAGATGGGACAACATAAATTTGTTCTAATTTATAATGACTTGAAACATTAGACAACCAAATATATATTTACTTTAACATACATAGTCATTTTCAACTTCCAATTTAGACTTGTTTGAGGATATGTATAAAAAATTCCTCTTTTCTTGGTTTACCAGAGTTCACCATCCTTTTCTTTAGCTGGGACTTCAATTATACGTGGTTTATCAATTATTCTTGCTGTGCGATTTCCTTTTTCCACAATACCAATAATCCAAGCCTGGTAGCTTTCTTGCTTTTCAATATCTTTACAATAAGCTGCAGCCTGTTCTCTTGGTAAGCAAATTAGTAATCCTCCTGAAGTTTCTGGAGAATGACCCTGAAGCAACTGAAACATGTTACCACAAGCTTTAGCAACAGCTGCCATTTTCGCTATAACTGGGAGATTATGAATTACAAAGGAAACTTCATTCTTCTGATGACGAGCCAAGTTTTGTGCATGCCCTAGCAATCCAAAGCCAGTAACATCTGTAGCTCCATGAGCATTATATTTGTGCATCAATCTCGCTGCAACTCTATTTAAACGAGCCATTGAATCCATAGCTCTCTGGTAAGCTTTACGTACATCTTCATCAGAAACAACCAGCTTAATACGATTCCAGCGGTCAGGTTGTTCTAACCATTGATGAGCATTTACAGCTACCTGTGTTCCCAATGGTTTTGTTAAAACCAATACATCACCCACTACAGCATTATCTGGTACAATGTATTCATTAGGCTGACATACTGTTGTTCCCACCCCACCAATTGTGCACCAAGGATTCACAACAGTCTGCCCTCCTGTTACAGAAGTGCCAGCTTCCCAAGCAGAATCTTTGAATCCTCTCATTATGAGGGGGATAACAACATCTCTCTCTTTCTCAGTCATCTTAGTAGATACTCCCAGCAACATTAGCATATTATCACATTCGGTGACTCCCATGGCATACAGATCACTTAATACGTTCGCACACGCTATTTTGCCCATCATGTATGGATCATCAACTACCGGGTAGAAGAAATCGGTAGTTTGAACTAGACAGAGCCCGCCATGCCGCAAAGGAGTCACGGAGGCATCCATACCAATTCCAATACGAGGAATATGAATATGCATGAAGTGGGCATGTTCATCCTGAGCATTTGCCTCATCTTGCTGTAGGCCCTCCAGAAGTTTCCACAGAACCTCCTGAGGGGCCTTACACCCTCATCCTTTAAGATCAGCAAAACGAGTGAGTCGGAAAGTGGCATCCAACTCATGAGCTACAGGATCGAACGGCCGCCTCAATGCAAAGGCATTTGGATTCCCTCCTAACTCCAATTGGGCAACAGACAAAGCATCTTGCGACACATTAGTAGCCTGTAACTCAGCCATACTCAAACGATCACAGAAGTTGGTAAAAATGATACACTTTCAAACAAAAGCGGACACTCAATCACACTCAATGCTTCCAACCTCACAGCGGCTTACAAGATGGCGCAGGATACCGACAAATCCTTGAACATTCGAGCGGCAGGTTGCTAGCAACCACGCCGCGCCAATGGGTTCTTTCTAAACCACGTACAAACATTTCGCTACAAAGAGAAAACAAGTAATGAAATTTCAAAATATAGGAATTAAGAAAATATTCGTTATTACACTTTTAAGCTTATTCAATAAGCACAAATAAATTTTAGAAACAAAAAAATATGAAATACATTTAAGTAATTATTTTTTTTAGGCAATATCAACTTTCATTTTAAAAAAATCTTTTTGAACCTTAAAAACTGAACGTAGTAAATAACTAAGCAAATCTGAGTTATTTACTTTGATCAATTATTTTAAAGAATATTGAGCTAATGTGTTGTTACAATTCCGTAAAAACCATTTTGTCATTTTCGTCTTTTTACTGAACGCGCGCTTTTACGCGGTAAAGCCAATCCAGATACGAGGTACTTGATACAAAAGAATAGAAATGCATAGGCAGTTTACATTAAAAAAAAAAAAAAAAAAAAAAAAAAAAAAAAAAAAAAAAAAAAAAAAGAAATCCAACCAATAGCCATACTGAAGGATTCTGAAATATTCTATTACCAGTAAACTTACATGACGAACTGATGAATGAATCTGGGTACAAGCATAGAGTGGGCTATGGTACAAGGCAAATTCTTCATTTGCAATATTGTAACGTATTGACATTTAAATCAACACAATCTAATATATTATAACTTTTTGATAAGGTATAGTTATGTAGTTTATAATGAAGTATATTATAATAGAAATATTATTCCTCATACTTCACAGAGAGGCGTATATTAAATTATGATGTTTTGCAAATGCGCTCAAAATTTAGTGACCTAAACCAAGACCCATAGGAACCTGGTAATAAAGCTGAAATTGGTACTAATACATTAATTATTTCTGATAGTTATTTCTATTATTAATGAAACTGGGCTACCATATCTCAGCTTGGAAGGAAGAGGTCATATAGTCATTGCTGAGAGGTTATAAAGTGGATAAAAAAATACTTATATAATACCTTAATGTCTGTAAACTATGAAATTTAATCTCAATTTTTCACTTCCACATAAGCAGTACTGTTCATTACAATTACTTTTCATTTTTTTGGAATTTATTTTTCTCTAAAGTCTGTTTTAGAAAGAATGGAAATCTCACTGTGAATAAAGGTTCAGATTATATTCAATGATCAAAGTGGCTTTCACTGTAACTATCAAGAGACCATTTCTTATCTCAGACCATTGCATTTGCATTAAAGAAAAAACAATTCTGCTCAAATGATTATCAAGGGATGGGATTGCAAAAATGTACTGTACTATTTCAACAATCCTGAATGAACTTCCATCAATTCAATACTTAAGATTGTCATTTTGTTTAAAATCTATTTATTGTAGGTGCAGTGGCTATTTTTTGAAATCTTCACAATCAACTTTACTGCTAATAAATTCATTCAAATTACCAAATTATACCATTTTATCAAGAAACAACCTAAAACTTTTTCTTTTAACTTTTTGTGCAGATAAAATATATTCCTCTAAGTACATTACATAAGCGCTACCTTAAATAACAATTCTGAATTTTCAAAACTATGTATAAGTATTTTTTTTTATTATCTCAAGTATTGTTAATATTTGTATTATAAATGTATTTTATAATTAAACACTATTGTACATTCAAAATGGAGTACTTTTGGAAAAGTTAAAAAGTATTTTAAGTAAAAAAAAAAATTAATTTAAAAATAATTTCAAATTTATCCCCAAAACGTTTCACAGGAAAAGAGGTTTTATTCTTTTATGATATTTTGAAAGCATCCTTTCAATGAAGCTATTAGGGGACTGAGGAATTTAGAAACAGCATGTCTTTTTTGTTAAAATAAAAAATCACAAGAAAGAAAACTAAATCATTGGGTTAATTTAAAAGTTTTTAATATTTGTTTCTGACAACATTTCTTGAAGAACAGTGAATTTTGATAAATATGTTTATTAATGAGTATGAGAATCATGGGCGTGGGAATGCATGAAACATGTCCCTCCATTATATTTTCAAGTACACAGAGTAGTTTTATTCTAATTTCATTTCCATGTAGCGGCTCTTTCTGTTTAACCTTATAACAATGATATTCTACATAGTTATGTATCATTCACACAATGAAGCTTTACCTGTACCTTGAAATGATAACAAATGCAGTACATAAAAATATTCTGTCATTCTTTATTTGGCAAGAAGTCAAATATGTAAGAGAGAGGAATATTATAAAGATGCTGTCAAATTTCCAGACATGGGACTATCCCCATTTTGGTTCCTTCTGACTACCACTACGGCTCTAACAGTGGTCTCGTCTTTGTGGTTGCCATCACTTTCTAAGTTTACAATCAGAGTGTATTATTGGATTCGTGAATAGCTGCGACTTAACTTTACCCTTCTTAACCTACTGCATGCATCTTGTACCTTCAATAAATCTAAAATGTTTGTGATTTGAACTAAAATTTCATGAAAGTACACACTGCCTTTGAGATCCCACACAAATTTCACATGCTAGAGATGCTCATGGTATGAAAGACATTTTTTAAAGATAAAGTAGAGGTTTTTGTTTTTGCTACCATGACAATGAATTTCTATTGAATATTATTCAGATGTATTGATTCAGTTTTGCTAAGCACGTTATTAGCCATATATTTATTACAAATGTCAGTTTTATATACAATGTGGGTTTTACATGATTCTAGAAAATTTATGTAGTGTGCTGTGTTTCATGCAATTTGGAGAAAGGAATTTTGCCCAAGAGTGCTGTAATATCACTAGCAGGACCTAATTTACAATATACTTTTTAACATTTTACTTGTTACAAATAATAGGAGAAAGCCAGTGCTGTGGTGCAACTCCTGTGGCTTCTTTCTTTGTTCCGTAACTTTATTAAATAAGAACATCTGGTTAATGTGATAAAATGCTTTTAAGTTCCACCGATAGACATTACCACCACCAAAGTATTGAAAGGAATGATTCAATAGATAAGGTTTGGATTAATGAGGAGTCACCTCCAATATAACTAACAATCCTAAAAAAGTATTGGGGGAGATGTGACCCGGCCTCAGAGATTGCATGGATTTCTTCTTAAATTGTAATTTAACGTTTTTAGGTTTCACTCACACTACCAGCACCAAGTTATTGGAAGGGATGATTCAACAGATAAGATGTAAATTACCGAAGGGTAACTTCCAATGTAACTCACATTACTACAAATGTAGAGCCTTAAAAAATCAAGGGCATTTATAATTATGAACACTGCTCTCCATATCATCTTTGTATTTCATGAAATAATTTTCTCTTTGCTTAAGAGTGGGTAGGAGATTAGTGTCAATGTTATGCTGTGATACATAGGGGAAGGGGGGTTAGTGTAGTGCTATGTAATGCTGGTATTATTTAATAAATATTTTAGCATCTGCTCAAAAAAATCCTTTTATTCACTCTGATACTAACGAATTTAAATATTAACAATTAAAGAAATATAAATAAAAAAGTTATAATGTATAAATTCTTACGTTAAATGGAAATATATTTCCATCAATGATATATTGATTGAATCTATTAGATTATGAAGGAAATATTCAAAATTTATATATAGTGTATTCTAGAATGCAAGTAAATTGGTGCTGTTAACTCTTGTGCAAATGTCATCCCCAATGGTGTGTGCATAATTTGTCAGAAATTTTCTCATCTAAGCATCCTTCCTTCACTGAAAAATTGCCCCCAATCTTATTGTTAGGTGTAGATAGCATTGCTAACTAATTGTTTAATTATCAAGAATTTTAATAGGCAAACCAAATAAAATTTATGTAACTTTTTAAAAATTTAAATAACTTATTTTTACTTATTGTAATTGGAGGGTAAGTTGTTGCAAGTGTTCCACCTTCAAGAAGCAGTGCTCCAAGCAGCAGCACTTTCCATGTACCTACATCTTCTTTACAGATGGCAAAATGCATTGTCTGTGGGGAATCTTTTGAAGAAGATGTTTCTTGATGAAACTCAAAGAATTTGAACATCTATTTTTTACTCTTATTTTATGCTGTATTTCAAAACTGACTAAAACTGCATTTAGTAGGTTAAAGAACTTCTGTGAGTAAACAGATATAATTTGTAATTTGCCTTGTTATTTAATTAACTCAAAAGACCAATTTTCTATAGTTTTATGTCTCTCCGATACCACCCTCCACATTTTAAGGACACTAATTTGCAGTATTTTGAATGTTTTATAATACATAGTATTAGCTTTTATATGTCAAATTACTTTTAACACGTTGTGTATAAGAGAACAAGGTATCTTTTTGTGCATTAAGTAATTGGATATAGTTATTTTTCTGTCTGACAACATTAAAAGTTAAGGTGGCCGACCTTTCTCCTAAGGCTTTGGGAGTTTTAACCGGATATTTTGATTTTTGAGGTTACTTTGCATGAAGCCTCAAAATCATTTTCATTTTTTTTCAAAAATGACTCATAATTTTTTGATTTAACTTTATTTCTCGGATAGTATAAAGGATACTTAAGAGCATCTTATTTGAAAGGAAGCTTAAGTGCAAAGCTCATGTTCGTTAAAATCCCAGATTTTTAAAAATTGCAAAAGTGCCATTTTTTGGGGTGTCTTCCTCCAACTATAATATTGAAGATAGAAATTTTTCCTCAATTAAATCTGATCTTTAGATAGATCTTGAAATAAGGTTATGTTTATTTATTTCAAAAGTAAGAGTAGTTTCCGGGTAATTTTGCGCGAATTGTACGCAATTGAATACATTTTTTTCTTAAAAAACCGCTCCAAATTGTTTCTTTGAGTTTTCTCCTCGTATGTATCAAGGGCCGATAACAAATATAGTCCTTTTTCCATTAACGGTGAACTCTCCGTATTTTCGAAAATTGCAAACAGTTACCATTTCAAAACTTTAAAATTGATGAAGACGATATTTGCTTTAAAGCCTGTTCTAAACAAATTTTGCTCTTTGAAAAGCGCCATGTTTTTTGAAAAAAAATCAGTAGTTTTCGCGTGATGTGCTTACAATTTATTCAATTCTAAATGAAAATTTTCTAAAAACGCGCTAAAAATTTGTTCTTTAAATCTTTTTCCATCGATAGATGAATGGATGATTAAAAAAATAAGTGGGTCTTCTTTTCGATGATTTTTCGAAGATTGCAAATTTATAAATAACGCGAAAAAATATGTGCAATTGAGCGTCACTAGTTTATTACAAGGTACACAACGCAAGACGTGTCAAGTTGGCCAATGAAATCAAATTTCAGCATATGTAACCACCGACGAAAATTAATCTGGCAAACCGATTAAAATAAAAATTAATGAATTAGGATTGTCATAGGATTTGAGAAAGTCGATGATCAATCAGCACGGAGAGAGGTGGGTTCATTTTGGTACAAACGAGAGCATAAAAGAACAAGTCATTGAGTTATGTACATATAAAGGCAATAATGGCGCAGCAATTATGAGTGGAATTTACAAGATGTTCAGAAAAAAAAATAGGTGATGTTGGTAATGCATTGTTTGTGCACTATGCTGCTCATAATTTAAATATTATGTTTAATGAATGGGATATATGTTCTGATAAATTAAACTGTTTGCTAGAAGAAAATTGTTTTCTTTGGTCGTAGCATTAATCGGAGGAACATATTACAAAATGTCT